TTCCATTTCATTTGCTTTAATAAATTTTATAACCTAAACCCTTTTGCATATAAAAAAATATAATTTATCTGGAGTATTTTTTAAAATGTTGCAAACCCATTTTCAGCTACATTTATGCTGCGCACAAGTAGTCACAACGAATAGACGCTAACAACTAATTAGTTCCATAATATTGGCACGAAATTCAGAATTTTGCCTTTACAACATTCCAAAGTGTCATTTAAAATAACCCTTTAGAAAAAAAAATTTAACCGCCGAGATTTATAAACCAAAATGTCAATGTTGCCTATAGGCAACACCGGGCATGAAAGGGTTAAAATGCCAGATTTCCTGCAAATACTTTAGAATTTACTAAAGGAATTTCACTACAACTTGCCTACTTTTCGTACTTTTCTGCTACCATTTTCGCACCAAGAGATTTCATTCTTCCCCTTTCTCCGTCCTTCATAAATGCAACCTTTTGTAAGGGAGTGTCAAACCGCAGCTGTCAATAATTATCTAACCTTGTATTATTGAATCATGATTTCCGCCTTTTAACGTAACCTCATATGATAATGAAGGCATTTATGGTATTTTAAGGCATTTTTAGGTTAAGCTTGGTGTGTGTACAAAATAATCTGATCAAATCCATTTTTTTGGAGTTCACAAGCAACTGTGTATGGTTCTAGCGCTATCAGTCAACCATAAGTATGTAAATTTTATGTCTAATAATTTTTTAATTTACAAAAAATAAATGCGGTCTATTACTAAAAAATTTATTGCACCAACGTGCTGCTACATATTATAGTAAAAGAAAACTTAAGGGGCGTGCCTCGGGCTATTACCGTCTCGATTCTGGTAATGCATTTTAAGGTGCACCTCAACTTTTTTTGAAATGTGAGTTAAGCTACTCTGGCGCTCAAGGCCTCATATAATAACTAGATACATTTACATAACTACGTATATAAATAAATATTTATTTAATCTCTGTATACGTATGTGTATAAAGAAGAATATAAAATAAATTTGTGAAACAGAAAACAACACATAAATATTTTTGCAATGCACGCGTTTAAAAATATTTCATTTATTTCAAAAAACATTAGTACAATAAGACTCAGTCTTTTTTAGTACAACAGGTTCATACAAATTACAAATTGCAACAATAGAATATTAAATGTAACAACAAATATCGAGACTAATCTAGATAAATATTACAAATACAGATTGGTTCATCAATTTGAAGAGAAGTGGGTATACAGAATAGCTTTAAAGTTGCTCTAACATTAATTGGAATGGAGTTCCAGATTCGTATAGCGTTAATGAAAAACAGTCTTGTGGAATTGTTAAATTTGTATAGAGGTAAGATTAAGTCGTACGATCGCTCCGACTTACGAAAGATAAGTTTTTCATATAAGTAATAAGGTATCTTTGTATTCATAAGTCGGAAAAGGAAAATGCAGTTTCTGGCCTTTACGTAGTCGGAGATTTCACACCCCAGCAAGGAAGACCTCCAGGCAGATATATGGTCAAATTTACGAATACCAAATACGTACCGAGTGACATGATTAAATAAAATGTCAATTTTATGGGCAGAGGCGGAATCAAGTTTGCTGTATACCAACTCTTAGTACGTTATTATAGGTACAATTAACTGACGTGCTAGCATTCGTCTAGTGGCAACTGGAGTGAATGATGCCGAATGCCTCAGATTTCTAAGTATTCTATATACTTTGCTCACTACAGAGTTAATATGATCACAACAGCTAAGGTTAGAGTTGATAACAAACCCAAGTTAGTTATTTTGGTAACCAGTTTTAAGGATTGATTATTTAAATATAGCGAAGGGATACTGTCGATATTAAATTTCTTCTTGTAGACTGGTAATACATAAGACTTGGAGGGATTGAGACAAAGTCCGTTCTTAGTAGCCCAACGTAAAACAGAATCTAAGTCTTTGTTTAAATTTATGGCAATAACATCCTTATTTTCGAAGCGGCCGGAAAAATAAAGTTGAATGTCATCAGCATACGCATGCATGCTGGCATACCTGCAGGTCTGAAAAATATCATTTATAAATACACTAAATAATAAAGGACCCAAAATGGACCCTTGTGGAACGCCCTGCATCAAAGGCTTAGCGTGCGATACTGTCGGCCCAACTTGTTAGGATTATCCTTGACTGGTTGACGGATTTCCCAAAATCCTTTCGGTTCGTATCTCTGGATTGCTAAATAAACGCTCAAGATAACCGAGTTGCAGTACAATTAACTTTATTGTACAACAAACAATTTACAATACTCGATAATGCAATAAAAACATTTTACAAAACTCGTTAAAGCAATTACAACGCTTTACAAAACTTGCTAACACAATTTATATCTGTTTCACAACTTGCTTGTAGCTTGCGATTTTCGCGAAGAAAAGCCTTGAATGTCATAAATGAGCGCTCGACGTAAGTTGATACAAGTGGAGCCCAATTTAAATATGGAACGTTTGAAACGTTCATATTATCAGGAATAAGGGCGTTTTCCTCGCCCTTTACAATTTTATCCACATCCCTTATTGTCTCCAAGCCTACGTTAGCTGAGAAAACGGCTTTGAATTTTTCCAACACCAATTTGGCAGTCTTTCTCTCGAATACTCTAAGAGCCACCTCATCGGATGTTGTCA